GGTAAGATGTTGGACTTCCTCTGTGCGGCTCCCTCGGTCGGCTTTCTCTTTCTGATTTGAGCAAGTCACGCAGAAACAGATGCTGTCGGTGGTGTTATGAGCAACAAAGACGGTGCAGGACCAGGAAAGCAGAGTGGAGGTGGGAGGTTCAGGCTTCCTGGTCTGAGTTTCAGTTACAGCCTTGATGAGTGATGGTGCCTCCACTGTGCCAATAGGTGATGGATGAACAGGAAACACAGAAGTTCTATGAAGTGGATGCCCACTCGAGAAAATCTTACAGAATCACTGAATTTGAAACCTGAGACGTTTTTCCTTCCTGTTCTAACAAAGAAAATTTCCCAAGACATAAAAGCCCCTCCTCCCCCATCCTCCCCGCACAAACAAAAACACTTACCAAAGAAAGCTGCTAAGATTAAAATGGTTATACAAAAATCATCAAATTGTATCTCAAAATAATAGGAATCCACAACTGTTACATGATAGACAAACTACAGATTAAATTACTACAAAAATTGTCAAGAATGGAGTCTGGGTATTGGTGGTACACGCCTTTAATCCCAGCACTTGGGAAGCAGAGGCAGGTGGATCTCTGTGAGTTCAAGGCCAGCCTGGTCTACAAAGAGCGAGTTCCAGGACAGGCTCCAAAGCCACAGAGAAACCCTGTCTCGAAAAACAAAAAACAAAAAACAAAACAAAAAAAAAAGTCAAGAATGATTGCTGCAAACTGAAAATTCCAATACACTGAAGCAAACGTCCAATTTTGTTTTCTATACTGCTGACTAATATTTCTAGTGGAATTTCTTAGGGATAACATGTACACGTGTTGTCACAGTGGGACCCACATTAGAACTGAGGAAAAAACAGCCGAGTAAAAGCTGTTGTATCTTTTGTAGTTTTTGTGAGATTTTTGGATTAGACTCCAAAACATCTCTTTTGTGTTTGTTTGAAATAAAACAAAAGTGGAGTTGAACTTGGGATATTCCTAGTATTGGCATTTCATCTAAGGCTTCAGGATAACATTATTCCAAGCTCTACTTGTCTGAACACAAGAATACACTGAAAACCCTTTCCATATTGCGTGGCAAAGTGAGACCACATCCATACTCTGCTTGGTTTCTGTCTTTCAAATACAGTTGCTTTCTTGATTATCAGCATTTCTCATGGTCCAGGAATCATTCTACATAAGCTAGAATTCTGTATGACTGAGAACTCTAAGGCAGCTATACCCCTTCTGCTAAGAAAGCACAAATTCATTAATTCACCTGAGTAATTCTTAACAAGTCCGAAACTAGTATCCTCGGAGGAAAACGCTATGCATCAATCAGCTGCATCCTAACAGGCAGCTTGCAAAAGCATCGACACAGCTCTCTAGAAACCCAGAAAACGGTTAACGATTTGTAGACGATTCTTACCCTATTGTATTTTATCGCGCTTAATATTGGATTGTAAGACCCTCAGTCCCATAATTTTTCCTGACTTCAAATGCAAAGATACTCTCTCTAAAGGACAGGGAAATTCATATTTGAAAACTCAGAACATTTGCATCCACAAGAAAACTTGTTAAGAAAACTCAGCAAACAAGCTAACCTAAAGACCTGCTGGAGTCACCCAGTCTATAAAATAATTGTATCATATCACGCACAGTTCGGAATTCCTAGTACCATGCACTTGGTCTCCCAAACCCCATTTTCCCTTTGGTTTTCAGTCTTCCCCTGATGTTTGCACTGGCACGCCCTCTATAGCCTCCACCTGAACATTTGCAAGCTGCCCAAGCCCACTGCCCTGCTCACCCTCTGAGAATGGAAGCTCTGAGGTTGTTGCTGTATTTCCTCTCACATTGTGTAGCAAGATGAGATCGTGGTCACACACTCTGCTTGCTTTTTGGTTTTTCTTTCCCTTTGCAACACCAGCTGCTGTCCTAATTATCAACAGAGACGATGTGGAATTACCAGAGCCATTTCTTCATGGTACAGCTATAATTCTATGTAAGCCAGAATTTTGTTACATCCCTTCTGCTCAGTCATTTCATTGAGTCATTGAAAGACAAACCACGTGGTCCAGGCTGAAATGGTCCCTTAGTGGAGATGTCTCCACTTCATTCCTGGTACCCTGGACATTTCCTAGAGCACAGTCAATGGCTTTGACTGAATTTCTAGGCTGACCTCAAGTACTTGAAGTTTTCAGAGCAGTTTCTATCATCACATTGCATTACCTCCTGCTCAGATATGGGGGGCATGCCAGTCCCCAACAAGATCACATCACACCTATTTTTTTTGTGAGCAACTAATACTCCCAAAATTTCTCTTGCAGGTAAAATTTAAGCAACAGAGAAATACATATGCATGCAAACTAGGTTATATGTGTAAATGTTTGTCAAGATATTTTGGAAATAAGGGTATTAAAGAAATAATAAAGTCAACTTCCTGTAGGAATGAGAAGAAATGAGTGAAGAGAATGTACCAGAATATGCCAGCTTTTAGTTTTGACTTTCAGGAGCTTTTAAACCATCACCACCAAAGCTTGTAAGCTTTGAACAAAAAGCTCATAAAGTCTGAACATTCTGGTCTCAAAAAGGAACTTTCTTTACATTCTGGAAGGCTTTACCTAGACCTGTTATTGTAATTTTCTTACCAGGCTTCCATATGACACTGTCCAAAATGTTTCTCTATTTCTCTCACACTGCCAAGTTTCTTAATACAAAGATATTCACAGTAACCTTTCATCTCTTGACGACTGTGATGCCACTTTCAGTCTTTTCTTATGAGCGATCTTTTGTTCTTCACGTTAATTTTTCTAACAAGTACAACGGAGTATTCTCAGATTATGTTTTGTATCCTTTTAAAACTGCATTGGTTTTTGCTCCTATATATTTACCTTATCCCACCTGCCTTAGGTCCAATTTGTTTTCCTCTTAACTCAAGAAGGAAGCTCAGATCCCTTTCTTGTGCTGGTTAATATTATTTTGATGAAAACAGAAACAAAAACAAAACTTATTTCAAGAACCCTGTCTTAAATGATGTCAATAATCTTCAAGGGCATTTCACCCACAGGGAAATCATGTTATTTAAAAACTTAATGTTTTGGAATGGAACATCAAATGCTTCTTTCAATCTGATAATTTCTCACACTATACCAGGGGCTAGAGTCTGTGGATGTCAACACCTACACACTCATTTTTACACTGGTAACTTGACACTAACACTAGCCAGTTCTCAAGTCAGAACCTTAAGGATGTGCAAGAAACTATTTACTATTGGCTATAGCTATCTTTAAAGCTGACACCAAGCTAGCAGCCAGCTCTTGTCAAGCCCAAGCCCAATCCTTAAACCCATTTCAAATCTTCACCTCACTCTTTACCACTATTTCCGTCTGGATTTCACAATAGACTTGCTTAGTTTTCCTCCCATCTCTAGCTCTTACTTCTCTTTATTTTCTTCTCAAAGAATTTTTCCTAAGGCACACATCTGTCCATGTTATTTCTCCACGCTAATATTCTTAAAAGCTCTGTGAGATTAAAAAAAAAAAATAAGAAAGTTCTTGGTGCTTGCACGGGGCTCCTCACAGCCCTGGGATTTATGCTGGGCACTCTCTACCCTCCCCCAACTCTCCATTTTAGACAGCAGGGCTTCAAACCTCTGTCACTTCCTCCTGTGGCCCCATCAACACAGTGTGCTAGCAGGGTACTTGTCAGGAGACAATGGTATTCTTACTGCCAGTTCTGAGATACGGAAATAACTTGGTTATTGAATAAATCCAAACTCATTTGCATTTATGCATTTAATTTTATTTGGTATACATCTCTATGACCTTGTTGTAGTTGAAATCCATTACAGGATGTTTTAAAGATGTATCATTAGTCACCTCCACAAAGACAATAACACTGCTGTGGAAGACCAAAGGAGAAAGGATACATTTATTTACAATTCCCTATATTATAAACATTTAACCTAGATACTATCACCTAGCTTGTAATGAGAGCTATACACAGACGAGGAAACGATGCCCCGTGTTTCTGTTTCATCTTCAGAAACAACATGTCATAGAACACCAGATTTTGATTAGCATTATGCTTTCTTTGGGGAAGTATCTAGACTCTTCCCAAAAGAACTAGGTAATTTTAAGTTATATAACTAAAACTACTTAAGCCACCATATGTGGCTGGTAATTTCATTTTCAGAATAATTTAAAGTGCTATAAGCAACCTGGCAGTCAACACTTTCTGTAAGAACAAAACTATCTTTAAACATCAATTTACAGGATCTACAACGCTTGTGTGGAACAGCTGGATTTTCAGCACAGAGTCACTGGCACACGTATAACAGCAGGATTTATTCTTTGCGCGACATGAAGCTCTGAGATTGAACTGACGAGTGTTGCCATAATGGCTTATTGTTGGTTTCCTATGACAGAAGATATAGCCGCTAGTTTATTCTACCTGTTCACTGTTTTGGAGGCCACTTGACAGAAGCTTGCACATTCATTCACCAAGTCTACTGAGTTACAGTATTGTCGACTACAGCCTCCGCCCTTTCACAAGAGCAGACGCTAATGGTTAACTAATAACATATGCCACTTGAAAAAAAAAAAACAATTTTTATTTCAAAACAATGTTTTTTTCTTTTGAGCAGGAAAAAAAATAAAATGTATTTGGGGAGTTGGTATGCAACAAGGCTAAAACAACAGAACTGTAAAACAGTGTATCTGACACAATGCTGAAGAAATATGCAGGGTTTACGTTTTGTACTTATGATAATGCCCTATTAAGCTACAAATATGTAAAGAGTATTACTTGCTTAATATATTACATCCAATAGAATCATTAAATTCCCATCCTCTGTCAATTTGTCAATTATCTGATAATTCAGTGATGAAAACATGCGCCCAAACCCGCATATCATGTGTGCTGTGGTCTATGCCAATCAGACTTCTCTTCAAATTTCATTGTCTTAAAATGAAATTGAGAATGTTTACAACACGAATAAAGAGAATGCTGTAGTGAATTAGAACTAGAAAAGGTCTATGAAGGAGATATTCTTTTGGCATATAGTTTCTCAGAAGAAAGTGATAAGCAGGTCCAACCAAATGTCACCTTTGTCAACTCAACCAAATACAAAAGTATCTCAATCCCATTTCCTCAATACCCCAAGTACACTGCTCTACAAAAAGAAACAATACAGATTAAAAAAAAAAAAGTTAACAACAGAGCACCATCCAATTAAGAGACTGAGATAACTCGAATTGAAAATGTGGTGGCCTTTATGATCAAAATGCTGCCATACGCTGACCAAACTCCACCCAGCTGTTATACTACAGGGACCCAGGCCATGGTGTAAACAAAAGAACTCTGGGACAGAAACATGATTTGAAAAATAAACTCCAAAATTATAGCTGTAGTAAGTAAATGGCAAAACGACGGACGTGAAAACGCAAATGACATGTGAATTGTATTGCTTCTGGAACATTCCAAACAATGCTTTGTCCGCTCAGGTTTGGGCCGACGTCCTGCTAAAACCGAGAGCACTGCATTCACTCAAAAGCCCAGATTTCAATGTCTTGGATAAAGAAATCTTCCTTCTTAGAAAGTGTGTGATTCCCAAACGTTTTACAAGAATGGCTCCGTCCATGGTTGAGATCCCCATCAAGCCAAAGGGCAAATTCTCCCCTGAAACACATCAAAACAGCCATTGACATTGGCAGCCTGTGTCAAAAAGCAATCAGTCAGGCTTCTTAGTGCACACTACTCCAGGGCCATGAACTCCTCTAAACCTCCCCCTACTATTCCTTTTCCTAATGACACACAAGCCAAGAATTTGTTTTTCATTCCATTATAAAATCATTTATCACACACATTAAGGAATACATTAAACACACTTAAATGTACTTCACATCCAACTAGCTTTTGGCATTTGGTATAAGTAGTTCTTTACTAGTTTATTATTTTATTATTTTCCTGGGCAGTGCTAGCAACTGAATTTTACGGGAGCACTCCTTCATTGAACTGCATCTCTGGGCATTTCTCCTAGCGCTACAGTTTTAATCTGGTTCTCAAGCAGGTGTTAAAATTTATATCATCTATGATAAAAATGAGGGTTAATGATACAAGAATGCAAGCAAAACACAAAAGCAAGGCAAAAGCAGCTTATTTACTCTAGATGCCTAGGAAGAAATATGTTGCTATTAAAAACAGTATCCGTGAGAGCAACTAGAGTTTCTGTTGAGTTACTTCTCTAGCATGCTGTCGGAGAAAACAATGCTAGTAGTTTTTGGTAGCAAGCCACAAAGACTAATGGACAAGAGACGTGACTCTGGGAGGCTCTGGCAAGCTCTGGCAACACAGAAGCCAGGTGTGATAGGACAGTGTGAGCGCTGCTTCACAAATACACATTTCAAAGGTAACAGAGGAGGCTACCTTTACACATCACGAGACGAAACAAAATCAGGATAGCAGAATATTTTTAAAATGGGCTTTTCATAGCAGTGTTAGGCTAAAAGAGTAAAATACTGTTGAAGAGAAACAAAACCCTTAGCATGGAAGGTGTCACTACACCTTGCTACAGGAAAATAAAGTTTTATAATTGTCTGAAATACAGATTTGAACTGTGATCAGAGAAAAACTGAAAGAAAACAATAGATTTCATCCTACACAATGAAAGAGAGGCAGACGATCATGCATACTTCAATAGTCAACACAGTAAAAGATTTGGAGTAGCTAAATTTCAAAGATGCAATGCACCTAAAGCAAATGATAGGTCTTAATGGAAATCAGCTAGCCAGCATCTTAAAGTGAGGAAAAAAATACTTTACCAACTATATAAAGTATCCTACGAAGTACCTTAAAAACATCATTTGCAATAATATACAAGTTTAGATTCTAATGTCAAAATTTCCAAAGAATTTATTTTGTAAGTAACCTAACATATTCTTTAATGCTCATGAGACTTACCCTCCACCGCCAAATGCTAATGAGTCCATGTCTCCTTTGATAAAAAACATATTATCTCCCGTCCACTTAAAGACCTATATGAATGGAAAGCAGAGTGTGGGATATATAGTTGAAAACTGTCACCAATTCGTTCTCCCAGACTTGGGAGTCCACACAACAGACACAACAGCATCAAAGCTCAGCAGAAAAGGCTCTGGGCCTCTGGGTGTCAGTGTTTCTGATCCACTTTACAGCACAGGGGCTCCTAACTCGCCACTCCTACTTCTCAGACTGTAACTCTTGACAAAACTTCTCTCTTCCAACATTAACTTTGCCTGTAAATGTTTGAAAACTGCTACAGGGCCAAGATCTTTTCTGTGGGCTCAAATTTCCTGTTTTTAGACTAACAATGCTTATGATTTTCCAAATTAAAACCCTTGAGAAATCTGAAAAACACTTAGACATTAACCGGCTTGTATCTGTGTATTTTACACATGCATAAATGTAGGTAGGGGTCTGTGCCACAAACATATTGTTGAGGGCAGGGCCAGATATTGGGTCTCTTCCCCTACAGTCTCCTCCCCTTACGGCATTGAGGCAAGGTCTCTAGTAAACCAGAAGCTTACCAAGTTAGCTGGCTACCATGCTTTCAGGACAGGCCACCTGTCACAGTCCTCTGTTGCTGAGGCTATAAGCACATGAGGCCAAGCCCAGCTTTTGTGGATGCTGGGGGATCAAACTCAGGCCCTCCTGATAGCTGAGGATCTTAACCAACAACCTGTTTCTTCAACCCCAACATTATGTTCTTATATATTTAATCCTGGTATTCTAGAAGAATTTTATCTCAACTAAACTAGGCCTCATCTTTACCATGTTTTTCAATATTATTGTATATGAGCTTCCATACACAGACACACACACACACACACACATAGACAGACAGACACACAGACAGACAGACACACACACACACACACACACACACACACACACACACACACACCTATCTCAATCTAGGTTTTTATTTTATTTACTCTTTGTGCAATATTAGGTGGTGAAATTCATAGGGAATGGACACTCTAGCTCAGGCTCCTTGCCATTAGTTCTCACCGTGTGCTTCTCCTGGTAGAGCAATCTGGTAGTTAAGTTAAACCCAGTTCCCTTTCTCTTTGGCTTCTTTTAAAACCTCCCTTTCCTTCCCCCTTCTCAGGAAGCTATCTCAGCTCACAGTGGTCAACGCGCCCATACACTCTCTTCTCAAGAGTCTTGTCCTGAATTTGCCAGCTGACACTGTCATCTTCCAGTTTTAGGATGGTAACATTTATGGGCCGTTCCCTTATGAACAGTACCCGTCCCCTGTTGCTCACAGAACACCTCCATGTTTCCTAGAAGCTAGGAAAGCTTCCTCGTTCCCTCTGTGTTTGCCTTTTTGGAACGTTACTGGAAGACTCACTGTTGGGGGTCACAAGTTTCAACAAAGTTTTGACATTTCAGTCGCACATGATGACTAGACTGTCGCATTTACCACACGCTACATGTAACTGCACATAATGACTAGATTGTCGCATTTACCACATGCTACATGTAACATGCAAAGGTTTGATCATAAGCACAAATGCAGATGAAAGCTGTAACGACTACTTTTTCAGTCGACATGTTCTATATATCTATACAGCAGCTCCTTTTTATATACTCACAATGCTGAAATAACTCTTCTTACCTCAAATTCTGGACAGAATGTAAAAACAAAGGTTTCTCCAGTACCGTAAAAGCCATCGCTTACTTTAAAGATAAAAGGGGCGTGGTCAGTGACACTTTTTCTACTGTAGTTCATCTGCACATCCCTCCATCACACACGGCCCATACAGTGTAAGAAGCAGGCGTTTTCACAACTCCTCCTTAAGGGGCGATGACAAGTTCCTGTACATGTCACATTCCCATCGACTACAAAGCAGAGCAAAGATTTCCCCTGGCTTTGAAGTCTACAAAGATACAGTGATTACACTTTGGACAAAATGCACAGTCTATATGTGGTATATACACGCCTCTACTGGAGCACAGTGGTAAGAAATCTACAAGTCCTTTGGTGTAGTTAAATGCCTTCTTTCTTCCCCCTTCCCGCCTCATTACACAGAAAACACCCCAAGGGCACACTCTGTTTGAATGACCGTGACATCACTGAAAGCCTACATTACAGACTCAAATGAAGATGACACTGGAATATTTCAGTGCACTGAGCCCACCTTTCATATCAGGAAAGGCCAGTGCAGCACTTGGCAGATTTTTACGTTACCAAGTGTAACATTCCATCCTTACAGCAGTGATTTTAAAACCTCATATACAAGAGGTTACTCCATTTAGAAGAACGTACACAGAATATAAATGTGTAGCTCAATTAAAATTGCCATAAAGTCCCAAGTACAGACTGAGACCTAAGGGAACGTCACCGGCACTTGAAAAGCTCTTCGTGAGCCTCTTCTTACCAGCCCCACTTCTGGAGGAAGCTGACATCTGATGTCATCATAGCTTCCTTTGGCCCATGTGAGTTTTCTATGCATGGAGTCATAAGTAAGGGACCCTTTACCATGTGATTTTCAAACCTGTCATATGTTTCAACACATCCACAACTGTGGTTTATAGCAATAGTTGACTCATTTTCATTGATTCTCATGCCTGTTCCTGTATCTCAGTCATGTGAGGAGAGTTAACCTCAACTATAACAGGGATGATGATCAGTCTCTGCAGGCTTTTGATGATTTAAACAACCATTGGACAATGAGTTAAATATCCGGCACATAACAAATACAGAGACGGACTAATAGCTACAGATTCTCTTTAACTGATACTTGTTTTCTGTCTTCTCATTACTGTTCAATGTTTCTCTTTTCCAGCTGTGACTTTGCTTTATTATTGTGCAATGACCCTGGAGCCATTTTCTTTGGTGGGTATAGCCACCGTAGGTGGCCTGTGCTCCATGCTGGTGCAAACAACCCTAAAGCAGGACAGTGGGACACAACCCATTTCCCGCACAAGACGGCAACAAGGAGGAGACTTTTTTGGAAAGAGAAAAGTTACAGTGTCTGCATACATCATGTATATACAGGAAATCATCAAATAATGAACGCAAAAGGTATTTTTAAATGTCTTACTCATTCTTAAGCATCTGCCCATTTTTCTTCTTTCTATAAGGCTCACTCTTACCTCCCTCACATACACAAACACTTTTCCTGGGCTCCTGAGAGACCTAGCAGTTCATGCTCACCTTTAAAGGTGTTGGTATGCTCAAACTGTCTCTACCATATTATTTTTGACTTCAACCCCAAATGTTTACTTAGTATGTTTACATTTAACCTCTAGAACACTCAGTATTGCCTTGTCCAATACAACAGTAATTAAAAACTATGCACTACAATACAGCTGATCAAATACGAATGCTAAAAGTTATTACCAGGGGACAAAGGATCTCCACAACCAGTTTTCCATACCTGTCCGTCACTGTCTTTAATCACCATCAGCACCGGCGTGTCTAAGCCTGTCATTGTTCTATAAAGGGTCTTCAGGCTCGTGCCGTGCTTCCCTGTTCCATACACAAGCGTCCATGGGTAGCCGATGGTTCTTGGCGGAAGATGCTTAGTAAGCTTGGAGAAACAAACGTCAGTATTTACGTGACTTTAAGCAGCAACCGCTGGAACTTAATCACATGTATAAAATGCAGGTGAAGAAAGAAACACTGGAAACTGTCATTTTCCTGGCTGTGATGCTGTAATATGAACTACACACTTCTCATCATGAAACAGCACTGTCTGCTAGAAAACAAATCATGCCAAACCAAAATGCCAACAGTGATAAGAAACACGGCTTGCTTATCGCTTGTACTGTACCGAATATTCAAATGGAAATGGCACCAGATTACAGAGGCTTGAAAATCTTTTACAGCTACATGACACTGAATAAATTAATGTCTCTACATGAAAAATTTCATCACTTACAAAAATATGAATACTAATCTCTAATTTCTAGAGCTTTGATAACAAACACATAAGATCACTCACACAGACCACGTAACTAGGCACAAACCAAAGACTGCCAGATGTGGTGAGCACTAGGGCTAAGGCCGGGCAGTCAGGAGTCTCCAGTCCAGCTTAGGCTCCACACTAAGACCCTGCCTTACAAACCAGCATGAAAAAGCAAACACTGGCCTCTCCTAGTTACTCTCCTTCTGTCAGTACTTCAGCACAGCTGCAGGGGTCGCTCTGCTCTGCCCAATTACGCTTCACAAAGAGGGAGGGACAGCAGGAGTGGCCCTGCAGCTGGAGAGTAGCTGGAGGCTGCTTCCCTCTCACAGCACACAGTCAGACGCAGCAGGTGACACGGCATACCTTTTCAATCTGATCAGGCAGTAAGAGTTCACTGGGGTCACTTAGGTTTGGTCGGAAAGTTTCAGACTCCAGGTCGGCTTTTGCTGGAGCAACCTGCTTTGAGTTGATGTCTTCCCTTGTAGTGATCTAAAACAGCAAATAGCAGCAGGGTGTGGGTATGAAACTGGGACTTGTTCTGAACATTTCAGCCTTTTGAGTTAAACGAAACTTCACTGAGCACAGGTGGCTAAAGATTCCACAGGGCAAAGGACACCCGTTTAAGTACAGGGTGCTGGAAGCACAAGAGTTTAGAACAAGTACACTCCATTAAATATACAAGGAAGAACTGGCAAGAAGAGCTGTGGCTCCTGTTTCTGGGTGACAGGAAACTTACATGCATAGCTTAGCCCTTATGGACAAAAGGGAGGGAGCCAGGGAGCTTTTTAACTAAGTGCTCTGTAAAATACATGCTAGTATTTGTCACACAAAATATAAAAGTTGTTAAAATTACTATAAAATTTCTTGCATTAAAAATTTAAAGAATGGTAGACCAAAAATGATAAATGTCTTTTCATTGGGGTGTATTTATTTGCTACCATTTTGTAAAACTGCCTTCTATTTTTTGACTTATTAAAACAATTACTTTTCACCTACTGGAACCAAGCAATAAATATTAAAATCAATTTGCTCATGAGTAAAGGTTAGGTAAACTGGTTGCACTTATTTGATAGAATAAGCTCACTGGTATTCATAAGATGACAAAAATGGTAATTAGAAGCTTACTTTATAATCTAGTGTTAATGCTTACATTTGGTATTAATTTTAGGATCAAAAACACAGTAATCCTAGTTACTGTTGATGAAGTATTTAAACCCCATAGAATTTGACTGGAGCAGATAACTAAAATGCAGCAGAGGGCGGAGACTGACGCCGCTCAAGAGCGGAAGCCTGGCCATCCGACACAGCTCTTGCCAGGTCTGGACGGTGTGGGTTTCCAGACAATACAAGTTCTAGAACTGTATTGTTCCTGGTGAGGAGCTTACTATGAGGACTTTCACATCATCATAGTTTACCTTGATTGAAATGATATGAAAAGTTAAAACCGAACGAAACAGAAATCCAAGGCAGCATGGGAAAGTGAAAGAGAACTATTCAGTCAGTCTAGGAGAGCAACGAAAGCAGAGCATACTTTCATAAAAAGAAAACACAACTGAAAAATGAGTTTTCAATTTTATTACTGTGTCTTTCTCAACAACGTAAAGATGTTTTGGAAAATTTAAATAATGTATCTAGCTCAGATGGCTTCTCTCCTACCCCAAAGCATTTCCAATACCAACTAAGAATGCCTCAAGAACAAAACCAATTTGTCTCATTAAGATTTTAATCAGTAGAGATAGCCTTGAAGAGAGAGTACCTAAGCCTTACTTTCCAGTGAGATTTTTATAATTTTCCTATCATCTGGTATCTTTCAGATTCTAGTCCATAAAGGTTCACTCACAAAACCAAGTGTTCTCCCAGTGTCAAAATTAAATGAAAACTCATAGCTCAAAGAAATACATAGTGATGAGAATAGTTCTCAAGTGGCTGGAAATTATTATGAAAAAATATTTAAAAAAAAAAAAAAAAAAAAAGAAAAAAAAAAAAAAAAAAAAGTAGCTGTCCAAGGTAAAACCATCTTTAAGACAAAGAGGGATGCATTTATTTTCTGGTGGCTTATTTTAGTGCTTCACTCCAGACAAACCAGTCTATATGAGATTTGTCTCGAGGAACGACACTAAGGACACACAGGGAGCCGTAATCTCCGAAGGAGAAGTTTGAACTACAGAGGGGCTGGGGGCACCTGGAGGCGTCTGCAGAGTGTGCGCAGCTCTTCAGCGTTTAAAGCATCGATCCTGCGGTGAGACTCAGCCACCGACACTACCTGAATATGGAGACAGGAAGACAGTAACTCCACTGACAGCTGAGAAGACAGCAAGTAAATCAACAGAAAAGACAGGAGAGGAAGAGAACGCAAAGGGAGAGGTTTCAACGGGTGAAGAGAACGGTAACCAAGATAGCTTCCTAATTGCACTGGAAATAGAAATTCATATAGAACCGCAGGTGAAATATACATGAGTGAGTGAGTTTCAGCAATACATCCACCTGGGAGAAAATATGCTTACTTTCTCGACTACTGAACACAGACTGAGCTTAACTTAAACAGATGTTCTAAAGGGTGGAAACTATAACAGGCTTTAGCAATACAGGTAGCATTTAACCAAAACCACCCTCAGTTTACAAAGAGAGTGGCTCTCAGCCGCCCCCTCAAACACAGCACACTAACAGCCATGGTCCTAGAATTTCTTCTAGGCACGTATGACAAGCACAACCATCTGTAGCGCAGGGGGGAAAGCAAAGAAAGAAAAGGCAAACACAAGGATAAATACAACAAAATAGGAACACTTTCAAAAGCATGTCTCATCTGTAAGTTCTTAAATCTCATACATAAATTTGGCCACAATAAAATGGATGCACAATACAAAAAAACAGAACAAAATACAAACAATTGCAAACCCAGTGTACAATGAAGGTATTTCAGGCAGCATTTGCCTGCTATACTGTGGCATTCACTCCTGCCAGGTCTGAACACACAGCATCTGTACTCACACTGTTTCCTTCACTCCACCCCGCTATGACAACAAAGGCCCCAACATTGCATGCACAATGGCTTCTGGCTTTAAGAGACATAATAGCTTACTTATGGAAAATATAGCTGTAATAGGTTTCTGCCATCACTTCTCAGCACAGGAGTATTAAATTAATATATGTCCACAAGCATCCACACACATATGCATGCATATCCTCATGCATAGGTACACACACACACACACACACACACACACACACACACACACACACACGCAATAAATTTTCACTTAGATTGGGGCAGAATTTCCAATGATATCTGAAGTGTCCCTAGACATATTTTTGTCACTTTATACTAAATATTTACATAGTGTTCTCAGAATTGACAATTATAAAATCATTAACTGATAAGTGTTGGCATTCTATGTCCTATATCAATAAATATTCAGCAAATTTAATTCCTTAAAAACAAGCATAGCTGTCTCATTAATATGCAATTGTTTTAGTCTTTGATAAGTTACCAAAGGATTGTTTAAAAATAAATTCTTTATGATTTGTTGTTGGTAAATGTTTGATTTTTACATATATCAGGTGTCATGCAGAAATTCCTGAAGTGATAGAAAGTAGCTTAAACAGTACCCCACTTTCCCTCCCCACCCCATGTGTGCGGTGTATACAGGTGTGCTCACATGTGTGTGAGCATCCAGAAGCCAGATACTGACATCTCTGTCCACTGTGCTTTGTGAGACGCTTCAGCTAGGCTACCTGGCGCACAAGGCCCTGGGGAGTCCGTCTGCATCCCACACCATCCTCCCTTCCCAGGGCTGCCCTGCTTCTCTCTCACTCCTCCAGAGTTTGTGCTGCAGCTATTGTGCATGACTTTCCCACATTCTGAAATGTATGGGAAATTCTTAATCTTGCTTAATTCTGAATCTGAAAACCACACATTACAGGTAAGAATCTACAACAGGAAACAAACACACAAACCTCACATTTCCTGAGGTCAACACAACAGTTACAGATTTTCCAGGCCACAAGATAACTAAAGAAACCTCCTACAATACAGTGACTGTAGAGCTACCACTAACACACGGTGACTGTTCTGAGCTGTGAACACCCCGTGACTCACCTCACAGGTTATATGAGAGGCTGTGGCTACAAATGCATTTGAACTAATTCACCCATGCGGGGTATACTTCAAAACCTGGCTGTGAAAGGCTCTTGCTTTAGTTAACTAAATCAATTGGCCACCACTAAGAGGGAGAGCCCTGTGCAAAGCTATGTGGTGGTTGCTGAAACCTGTGCAAGATATGAGCACGGAAAATGCAGAAGAGACTGGGTGTGTCCTCGAGCACTACTGTTACTTATCATCTTGGCTTTTGCTAAGCAACAATTCAGACACTCTGGTATAGATAAGAAGGGTGGTGGCACCTTCCAGCCTGGGAAGCTTAGCTACCCCTGGGCCTAATGAGAGAGAGTGCAAAGTGGCAAATGGGAGGTTTACGTAAACCAAACGAGGACACACTTGTAGAAGACTGAGTAATGGCAGTAGGTACCACTGTGACTTTATGGCTTTCTACCCGTCCCCTAAGGACTGGAGAGGTGGCATGGTTCCTTACTTATTTGTGGCTTTCATTTTTGGTTTAAGATAACTTTTATATATTTTGGATGACAGTTCTGCAATTAAAATTTGTTTCATTTGTTTGAGATTGACAGAAATAAAGATTTACCAATTAAACTAATGTCCTCCTCCTCCTTTTTTTTTGGTTTTTTTTTTCAAGACAGGGTTTCTCTGTGTAGCTTTGGAGCCTATCCTGGACCTCTGTAGACCAGGCTGGCCTCGAACTCACAGAGATCTGCCTGCCTCTGCCTCCCGAGTGCTAGGATTAAAGGCGTGTGCTACCAACGCCCGGCTCCGGCTGCTGCCGCTGCTGCTGCTGCTGCTTCTGCTTCTTTTTCTTCTTCTTATTCTTCCTCTTCTTCTTCTTTTTCTTCTTTTTCCTACTCTTCTTTTTTTTTTTTTTTGAGACAGGGGGTCATTATTTGGTCATGACTAGTTTAGAAGTCACTATATAGGTAGGGCAAGCTGACCTCAAACTCACAGAGATCTGCCTGCCTCTGCCTTTTGAGAGTTGGGAATCTGTGTACCAGAATGCCAGAAATAATACAGTGTTTGATAAGGATGAAAGGAAAACCTACATATTAAAAATGAAAAATCATGGTCTTGCTTTGCTTTCCCACACTCTAAATTCCTATGGGCCAAAGAGGATTATATGTGCTGTTGTGTGAGCGTTAGATTTAATCCTGAGTCTCCTCAGTAAGAATTCTCAAATCAATGGACAGATCGACTCCGTGTTCCTTCTTTCCCACTAGCTGACACAATTCTGATAGCCAGTTTTAAGTGATACTCCTCTATGTATACATTAAGCACACTGCCTAAGTGGAAGCCAAATTAAATTAGGCTCACACAAGGAATTGGTTTTATAAACATTTTAAAACCCTGTTTTATAAACAATGCTGAAAGTAGGAATCATTAATATAATGAACGATTGTCGTTGAAAATCTAAGTGTATAATATGGCGAGGCCCCAGTTTCTTTAATGTCAGATGCCTATCTTTTCTCATTCATTTATTTTATTGAAGTGTGTGTGTGAGAGAGAGAGACAGAGACAGAAAGTGTGTGTGTGAGAGAGACAGAAGAGACAGAGAGAGAGAAAGTGTGTGTGTGAGAGAGAGAGACAGAAAGAGTATGTGTGTGTGAGAGAGACAGAAGAGACAGAGAGAAAGTGTGTGTGTGTGTGTGTGTGTGTGAGAGAGAGAGAGAGAGAGACAGAGACAGAGAGAGAAAGTGTGTGAGAGAGAGAGACAGAAAGAGAGTATGTGTGTGTGTGAGAGAGAGACACAAGAGACAGAGAGAAAGTGTGTGTGTGTGTGTGTGTGTGAGTGAGAGAGAGAGAGAGAGAGAGAGAGAGAGAGAGAGAGCACTCAAGTGAAGAAGATAACTTGTAGAAGTCAGTTCTCACCTTCTACCATGTGAGTATGGGGATTGAATTTAGGACAACATGCTTGGCTGCAAGTAACATTTTCACTTTCTGAGCCATCTTGCTGGCCCATTCATACTAAAGAAAAAAATGTATTACTCCCTTCCCAGGCCTTATAAACCATCAGTTTCTGCCGCCCCGCTCCTTCCTCCTTCCTTCCCCTTATCTTCCTGCCTCCATTTCCAAGTGCTGGGATTTCTCAGAGGCACCACGTAACTTCATGTTTCTTTAGATACTGATATATAGTTATGCTATGGGGAGAGAAGATACAGAACGCTATCAAAAAGCCTGTAAATTAACAAACAGAAAAAGTGAAAATGAGTATAGAAGTGTATTTCTTCTTTAAAAAAAAAAAAAGGCTAAAAGTGAGATAAAAATTTTCCCATGTAGACACTGAATCAAGACTTTCATTGATTTTTTTATGCTTTTGGGAACTTATGATCTATGCACAGAAGTTAGTAGATTATCCAGAAGACTAAACCTAAAAGAAATGACACCGTCCATCTATGTTCGGTATCCCACAACTGACAGTTAAAAGCACACAAGTACGGGAAACAAGAATTTCCATCTAAAAGCATGGTCACTCTGGCTAACACCATGCCTTGAGGACTGAAATAGTTTGGATACAACACTAAGACCAGTGGGAAGTAGTATCATGTCCTACCTATACCACAGAAACAAACACCAGCCTACAGTCTCTCTGGTCCTTCAAGGGCCCTCAGAGGCAGAAAAGAGTTTTTGTAGCCATCTATTTCCATAGTTATCCATGTACATGCAGAATAAACCTACACATCTCCATTTTAGATGGGCAGAGAGAAACAACACTAGCAGACTAGAGAGCAGAGAACGTAACACAATTGCTCTCAGTTCCGGTCTCATGAATCAGAACACATTCATATACCTGACAGTCTACCAAACAGACGGCACTCAAAGGGCTCCTCTCACCCACTGTAGACAGCGTCTCCTCCTAACAGATGGGGACTTACACCAGGAACCACGGTGTGCTGAGATTGAGACCCCAGAGTGTTCCTCTCGACACTGGATGTCTTGATCACACCTCCCCCCACCCCCCAATGGCTTCTGGATCCTCAGGGAAGACAAGGCCTGAGTGGTAGATGACTTCAAGGAAACCATGTTTTCTGGACATCAGAGGGAAGATGAAATACGAACTCACAGAATGCTACAGTGCGCAAGCCCTGCACAAGCTCAAGCCAGGCAAAAGTCCAGCATATGGGCAGTGTGCGGTGGGCAGAGTC